TCAACTAGTATTTGACAAGGGAAACAAGAATACTTAATGGTGAAATGATAGTCTCTTCCACAAATAGTGATAGGATAACCACATGTAAAAGAATGAAATAGGACCCCTATCTTACACCACTCACAAAAAAATAACTTCAGATGGATTAAAGACTTAAACATAGAATCTAATGACATAAAACGTCCAGTAGAAAACATAAAAGAAGCTCCTTGACATTAGTCTTAGCAATAGATTTTTGGTTATGACCTTAAAAAGACAAGTAAAAAAAAGCCAAAATCAATAACTACTACTACATTAAACTAAAAAAACTTCTATAAGGTAAAAGAAGCAATCAAACAAATAAAATGCAACTTACAGATAGGGAGAAAATATGTGCAAACTATATATCTGATCGGGTATTACTATCCAAGACATATAAAGAACTCATGCAACTCAATTACAAAAACAGAAATGATCTCATTTAAAAATGGGCAGATGATCAGAACAGACATTTTTCTAGATATACAGAAGGCCAACAGGTACATGATAAGGAGCTCAACATCACTAATGATCAGGGAAATGCATATCAAAACCATATACCTCACACATGTAAGAATGCTATTTTCAAAAAGATACAAGATAACAAGCGATGGAGAGGATGTAGAGAAAATGGAACACTTGTACATTTTTGGTAAAATTGGTTCAGCCACTATAGAAAATGGAATGGAGGTTCATCAAAAAATTTTAAAAAACAGAACTAAGGTATGATCCAGTAATTCCACTCCTGGGTAAATATTCAAAGGAAATGAAAACAGGATATTTAACATACATATGCACCCATGTCAATTACAGTGTTATTTACAATAGTCAAGATATGTAAACAACCCAATAGTCCATCACACATGAATGGAAAAGAATATTTGATCTATCTATCCATATGAATATATATGCAATGGGATATTACTTAGCCATGAGAAATAAGAAAATTTTGCTGCCTGCAACATGTATGAACTTGAGGGCATTTTGCCTCATGAAATAAATCAGACATGTCCACTTAAATTCTAGCTTCCTTGCTATTTGTACCATATCTTCCTCCACTGAAGTCTTGAACCCCTCAAAGTAATCATTGTGGGTTGGAATCAACTTAATCTAAATTCCTGTTAATGTCAATATTTTGAATTGTCAGGAATTACAAATAATCCTAATGGCATCTGGAATTGTGATTACTTTCCAGAAGATTTTCAATTTATTTTACCCAGACCCATCAGAGGATTCACTATTTATGGCAGCTAGAGACATGAAATATACTTCTTAAACAATAAGACTTGAAATTTAAGATTACTCCTTGATCCAAGAGCTGCAGAATGGACATTCTACTAGCTGGCAACATCAATCTTATTGTACATGTCCATTAGAGATTTTGAAGGACCAGGTGCTTAGTCAATGAGCAGTCATATTTTAGAAGCAATCTTTTTTTTTGAGCAGCCGGTATCAGCAGTGGGCTTAAACTATTCAATAAATCATGTTGTGAACAATGTGCTGTCATCTAGACTTTGGTGTTCCATTGATAGAGCACAGGCAGAGTAGATTTTGTGTAATTCTTAAGGGTCCTAGGAATGTCAATATGTTAAATGAGAATTATCTTCAACTTAATGTCACAAGCTGCATTAGCTCCTAACAGGAGAGTCAGCCTGTCCTTTGAAGTTTTGAAGTTAGGCATTGACTTCTCTTCCCTGGGTATGAAAATCTTTGATGGCATCTTTCAATGGAATGGTTTTTCATCTCCACAGAAAATCTTTTTAGTGTAGCAATCTTTAATAATGATCTTAGCTAGATCTTTTGGATAGCTTGCTGCAGTTTCTACAACACTTGTTGCATCACCTTGTAATATTATGAGACAGCTTCTTTCCTTAAACCTCATGATCTAACCTCTGCTAGCCTTAAACTTTTCTTCTGCAGCTTCCTCACCCTTTTCAGCCTTCAAAGAATTTAAGAGAGTTAGGGTCCTACTCTGGATTAGGCTTTGGCTTAAAAGAATATTGTGTCTGGTTTGGTCTGGTCTGTATCTAGACCACTAAAACTTTACATGAGCAATAAGACTGTTTCATTTTCTTCTTCATGTGTTCACCGGAGTAATATATTTAATCTCTTTCAAGAAATTTTCCTTTGCACTCATAACTTGGATAACTATTTGTCACAAGAGGCCAAACTTTTAACCTATCTTGGCTTTCAAGATGCCTTACTCACTAAGCTTAATCATTTCTAACCTTTGATTTAAAGGGAGAGAGATATGTGAGTCTTTAACTTGAGCATATAGATGCCAGTGTAGGGTTGTTAATTGGCCTAATTTCAATATTGTTGTGTCTCAGAGAATAGGGAGTCACAAGAAGAGCAAGAGGTACAGGGGAATGGCTGTCAGAACACACACATTTATTGATTAAATTTGCCAACTTATATTGGTATGACTCATGGTGTCCCAAGACAATTGCAATAGTAACATCAAAGATCGTTGATCATAGACCATCATATTAAATATAATATTAATGAAAAATTGAAATATTGGGATAATTTTAAAAATATGACAAATAAAAATGTGAGCAAATGTTCAAAAAATGGTAATTGCTCAATACAGTTTTGCTACCAATCTTCAATTTGTAAAAAAAAATGCAGTATCTGATAAGCACAATAAAGTGAAGCACAGCAAAAAAATATATGAATGTATATTAAAAACATTGAATTGTGAACTTTATGTGAAATTTTATGAATTTTTATGTAAATGTATGTGAGTTGTTATCACTACTAATATTTTTTAGATAGGTGAAGGGGGGAAAGCACAAAAATCTTAATCATAATATAAATTAATCATGGGGATGAAAGAACAGTGTAGAGAAAATAGTCAGTAGTCCAGTAACATCTTTCTACATTGACAGATACTAACTACATTAGTTGGGGTGAGGATTTAATAACATATACAACTGTTGAATCACTATGTTGTATATTTGAAACCAATATAATATTGTATATCAACTATAATAAAAAATAAATTAAGGAGACTCACAGAAAAAAAGATTGTTATGAGGTTTTATTTTGATTTTAAACAATATTTATCATTCAGTAATATAATAATGTTGAGGTTTATCTAATAAGGGCTGTCATTTATGTAAAAGAGATGAATAAATATAATGTTTATATTTCCATTTTCAGTAGATAATTCTTGTTCTATAGGCTTATCAGTAGTACTTCATAACCTTCACCATAGTATCCATGCCATATGGGGATAATTTATACTAACTGAGAATAGGCTTTCTTAGTTGAATTATCCTTTATGAAGAATTGCTTGATCTTTCCATTACAATCCCATAAACTAACAGTTAAAAATATTAAAAATATCAAAATATAAAGGTTCCAAGCATTCCATATGTTCTTTAGAGCAGAAAACAGTATCTTGGAGTTAGAAATTTAAAAAAATATATGTAAATTTAAAAAGTACTTATAAGCACCTAGTTTTGTCAACTTATAGCTACAACATTAAAGTTTCATTAAAGAGAATATAAAGCAAAGCTATTTGTATTCTGAGTAGTATCTGTGGCCTCCTGAAATAATTCACTTTATTTACTTTAGTCTTTGGATTGTTTCTGGTTCAAAACTGGGAGAAGTACTGTCTGCAATGTTTTACATTAAATATAGTCAGTTTCAATGTATTTTTTGAAACATCAAACAGTTCATATGGTCATTTCCAAAACATCTAGTATACATCTGTTTGCAAAGAGGTACTTTCAAATTAAAGTAAATCAAAAGGCAGAGAACATATAGATTCACTATTTAGTTGGACAGTGTTTGTGGCATTAATATACTGCTAGAAGAATAAAATATTTTGAGTAAATTGATAATTTATTCAATGGGAATAGACTAGGCTTTGTTAGTCCAAGTTTTGAAGCAGTTTGTCCAATGTTTCTGAACATGATTTTTTTCTTTGTAAACTTAGTTTAACATTTTTATTTATTTTAAAAAAAAATCTTTCAAATTTTGTCTGTAATTGTAAAAGTAACACATGCTCAATTAAGTATATGTAGAAAATAGGAAAAAGTAGAAAGAAGAAAAATGTACAGATATAATATTATCAACCCAAAGTAATGATTGTTAAGATTATAGCCGTCTGTAAAAACACACACATCATAGTAGATACGTTAAATAAATATTAGCACAGCTTGTGCATAAGGATTCTTGGATTTGAATTCTAGTTCTACTTACCTCCCCAATAGTCAAAATAAGGATTCTTATTTATTTTCTTATTGCTTTTAAATATTTTCACTATTCTTATTTAATTAAATCTTACATTGACTTACAATTCAAAATTTTAGCCACAAATAGCTGAAAAGTGAAATATTCTATCCGTTTTTGTCTGTTCAGCACCAAGTAAACTGATTTTTAAAATTCTTTTGACAGATTTAAACTAAGTTTATTGAATCAGTCAAGTAGTTTTGCATCTCAGGCTATTTTATTCAAGGATTTTAGAAGATTGAATTGTTGAAAACCAATGTCATGCAATCCTCATTAAGTTATTTGCACTTACTATGTGGGAAGCAGTGTAATATACATTTTTAAATCTAGTAGATACTGTTATGAGATGATATGCCAGCTGTTTGATATTGGACAAGTTTCTTTTTTTTTAATTCAAAAAATTTTATCATAGTTTACTTTGTTTGCTCTTATTAAGCTGATTTAAAAAATTCCAGAAGAGAACAATTCAGCAGCACCATTAAGTTACAAATCTATCCTTTGTCACAGAGCAAGAGTATATTTCAGATTAACTCTAGAAAATAACTTTAAGTGTTCGCAGGAGTACTCACATCCATTTGTCATGAGTTCCAGTGCATCATACTCTCCTTCTCAATTGTCTAACTCCTAATTAGTTACTACTTATAGTCTGAAGATAAAGAATTACCCAAGTGAGATATGCTTTTGGAACATTGTTGAAAATATATTAAACATAGAGATACCCCAAAACCTTGTTCTAAATTTTAAAAACATACTAATGTATAGAGAAAATATCCGTAGATATTTTCTATTATGTAATAATGAGTTTTTATTTCTCTCTTTTTGATAATGTCTTTAATTTCTTCTGAGACTTCTCCTTTGTTGTCATTTGGTTCTATTTCATTTAACTTTTTTTGATACTCCAGTGACAAACAATTCTCTTTTGTGCCCAAGCAGAGGACCTTTTCATACTGGGGTGAAGAGGGTGCACTGTCATAATTTTTCATCTGATAATCAACAGGTTCTTTTACTTCTTGAGTGTAAACATTAACTTATTGGGACATATGTTCCATTTTAACCCCTTATTGCTTACCCAGAAAGCTTAAATTTCCTTTGTTCATTTTCCATACTACTCCCACACGTTATTGCCAGGACTTTGAAAAATGATGCCTATACCTCAATGCCCAGTTTCACTTATTTTACCTTGGGAATTGTCAAAGTCAAGCTTAAAATCTTGCAGGCAAGAGATGCAACTGAACACAGCCAAGGGGTTGTGGAGGTGAATCAGCTCCCTCAGCAGGATGCTACCATAAACAAAATACAAAAAACTCTCCTCCTCCTGACTCTGAAGGTCCTGGCAGGCCAAGTTCACCAAGTCCTGCCAGATGCCGGCACATCCCAAAGATAGGAAAAGGGGTGTGAGCAGAGGAAGACCAGCGACCTCAGTCCAGTAACTGCTGCCTCACCACTTTCAAGTTAGGGCTTGGCAAATTTCTTGACCACTCTTCACTTTATCTGTAAAATGTAAATAATTGTAATTCCTTCTTTCATGTTTTTTTTAAGAATTAAATTGGATAATACATGTAAAACACATACACAATTCCTGGAACATAGTAAGTGTTCAATAAAGGCTTTCTAATATTATGACTATAGGTCTAACACTGTGAAGGATACAGAAATATATGACCTGATTCCTACATTAAAACCTTTTAAAAATATATTTTTATTAAAGTATAGTTTATGTACATATACAGGTTTCAAGTGTACAACATAGTGATTTCACAGTTTTCTACATTAAATGCTTACTCCAGTAAGAATAGTTACTATCTGTCGAGAAAGATATTACACTATTATTGACTATATTCTTTACTGTTATATTTTCATCCATGTGACTGGACGTTTTTTCCAAAGAAGACATGCAGATGCCCAACAGGCACATGAAAAGATGATCAACATCACTAATCATCAGGGAAATGCAAATCAAAACCACAGTGAAGTATCACCTCAGACCAGTCAGAATGGCTAACAGCAAAACAATAAAAAATAACAAGTGTTAGTGAGGATGCAGAGAAAAGGGAACACTCATGCACTGCTGGTGGGAATGTAAATTGGTACAACCACTGTGGAAAGCAGTATGGAGGTTACTCAAAAAACTAAAAATAGAAATACCATATGACCTGGAAATTGCACTTCTGAGAATATAACTGAAGAAAACCAAAATCCCTCACTTGAAAAGGTATATACACTCACTCCTATGTTCATTGCTGCATAATTTGCAATAGCCAAGATATGAAAGCAGCCTAAGTGTTCATCAATAGGTGAATGGATAAAGAAGATGTGGCACATATATGTATAATGAAATGTTATTCAGCCATTAAAAATAAGGAAATCTTTATTTTTGCAATGAAAACATATTTTTTGGTTGAAGAAGTAATACTTGCACATCAAGATGCCAAAATATTTTGACAGTAAATAATACAAAACAATAATACAAGAGATGTCAGAAAGTAGTATGTAAGTGCCAAATTAGGAGATACATTCAGTTTGAGTGATAAGTGAAGGCTCATTAAATAGATTAAATTTGAGATTTACAAATAGAAAAATTAACAACTGAGTTGGAAATCCCCAACAAATGTATACATGTTGACGCAGGATGGTATCAACGAATTAGGCACCCAGACTGGCCTGACTCAACTTAAGGCTTAATATCTTAGCCAAGCTTTAAAAAAGACACTTGTAAAAGAAAAATACCAAAATTTTTAAACTTGTAACTCCTTTCTATTGGAAGTCAATAAGCTCCAATTGATGTTTTCATTATGGTGTTTGTACTGTTTATATAATTCATTTTTATTCTAGATCCCCTTAGCATTTATAGCAGAGAAATTAAAATTTATGTTTAATAAAATGCCCAGCAAACAACTGCAAGAATAAAGCTCTTTTTTTATTTTCTTGTTTGGTATTGATTAATAAGGACTCCTCATTTCTTGTATTATCACTTAATAGCATTTACGATTAAATTTCTGAAAAATCACAGCATGTATTTAACAAGTGATGTATGTTACCAAAGGTCAGAAGAAATCATTGTAGAAGAAAATTTATCACTGGAAATAATTACCAAATTGAATCACCTGGGTTGTGATTCGTTTTTGTATTTTCATTAATAAATTCTGAGCTTATGCTGCTTTGTAATCTAAGGAAAACCTCAAGCTTTAAAAGCTAAAAAAATTCCAAAATATTTATTTTAAAGAATTTTTAGTTTTAGTTCACTTTTTATATCTATTTTATAGCATATTCCTATAATACAATATAAGATGCATGATACTGATAGAATTTAATATCTATCTACTTAACATCTATATTCTAGATTCTTACTACATCCCTACATGATAGTCTCAGTGGGATCCATCAAGAAGCTCAGCCTCCACAACATACCAGCACTAAGACATAAGGAAGCATGGCAGGCTTGTTGGAACTCTGCTTCCTCACTTCCTCCACTGTCAGCAGAGTTCCAGAGAAAATTCTCCACCCACATGCAGCAACAATGAAAGTGAATAAAGTAGTACTAAGAGGAATTAATTGGTATATTATATTTCATGTCCCCCACTCTTCCAGCAGTCCCTAGCTGGGAGTTGAGTCTCCATTATCATTCAGCATCAGCCAGGTGGAACAGGCTGTGGTAGGTGTGGCAGGTGATATACTTCTAGCTCCTGGTTTAGATCAGGGGACTGAGCTTAAAAATCACACGTCTTCAATGAGGTAGTGTGAGTCAGCATTTACAAATTTTTATGGGGCTGTGTAAGTGGAGTCCAGTGGGAGATAATTTCTACCCGCCTCCACAGACCTGTGTATTATAACTAAATAGGATAAGTCCACTCATTTTATTAAAAACCAGGAGAATCACAACTTGAAAAAGAAAAGAAAGTTGAGATGCCAATATTTTCATGAAAGATGTTGGAATTATCTGACAAGGATTTTAATCCATCTGTCAAAGGAAAGGTTTCCATGAGTAATCATGAACACATTTGAAACAAATGAAAAATAGAGAATTTCAGGAAAAGAAATAGAAGGCATAAAAATACCAAAGATAAATTTTAAAAGTGAAAGTATGAGTTAACTGAATTAAAAAAAAAACACTGGATGAGATTAATAGTAGAATGGAAATGACAGAGGTAAATTCAGTGAACTTGAGGACAAATTAACAAAATTTATTCGATGTGAACAACAGAGAGAAAATAAAGTGGGAAACAAAAACAGTCTAGGGGACCTATGAGAAAACAATGAAAGAGATAACATTTATATTATCAGAATCAGAGGAAAGAGAATGGGATTGAAAAATATTCAAAGAAACAATGGCTGAGAACAAATTTAGCAAAAATCATAAACATATAGACTCAAGAATCTGAGAAAACCCAATTAGGATGAAACCAAATAAATCTATGCCAAGACACATCAGAAGTAAACTTCTGAAATCCAAAGATAAAAAAAATATTTTGAAAGCAGCTTGAGAGAAATAATACATTACCTATTTGGAATCACATTCAATTTACGAAAGATTTACCATGTGAAACTATGAAGGCCAGGGCGAAGTGGCATATTTTTCAAGTACTAAAATAAAAGAACTGCCAACTGTAAACTCTCCAGCAAAATGTAAAAATCCAACAAAAAATGACCTTCAGGAATGAAACAGAATTTCTTTTTTAAAAGACACAACAAAATAAACAATCACAAAAAAAACCTAAACCTACAACCACTATATTACCCAGTTATTGCACCCGTGGGCATTTATCCCAGGTAAATGAACATGTGTTCACACAAAAACCTTACACAAATGTTCATAGCGGCTTTATTTGTAGTAGCTCCAAACTGAAAACTACCAAAATACACTTGAATATGTGAGTAGTTAAATAAAATGTGGTATATCCATATTCAACAATAAAAAGGGGAAAAAAAGGTATAGATTTTTTTATAATTAGTCATTTTTCCTCTGCCAGTTTCTTTCTCCCTGAGAGTTTTAATGGTCACTTCTGACAGTTTATCTTCACTTCTAAATTGTTACCTGATATAATTTAGTTTGTATGAAATTTTATTAGTGAAAATTAGACCAGTAATCTTATTAAATCACTTTACTTTTTGCACAAATCCAATTTAATATTCTCCTACTTGAGTATTATTTCACACTTCTTTGAGTGTGAAATAAAATGCAATGGTCTTGTGCTCATACTTTCCTTCTCCTCTTAGAGTCCATTTTAAATATATTTTCGGTTTATGCCACTGTTGTGGTAGTTTAGGTACTTAGAAACATAAGTTGAGTAGATAAATGTATATGTTAAAATATATCTCAGGATCAACACAGTTATCATTATCTGTTTTAGAAGTATGACTGAGAATCCTGGTATGTACCCAAGGGAGCCTATATGCAAAATGACTTTTAATTTTGTAACTATGTCTATTACTTGCAGAGTCTTGCCTGTTCATGTGTGAGCACCAGTAAGTCCACATGATTTGATTTGTATTTCAGTGTCTCTTTTAACTTGGCATATTTTCCTTGAATGTACACTTACCTCAACAACCCCACTGAGTAAAAAAATAAATCTGTTTTCCTTTCACTTCTAGTAAACTGCGCACATTTTTTAGTGAGATTAATAGCATATACATACATTTTTTAAAATCACATCCTTACTTTCCTTTAAAACAGTGGCCCTTATAAATATAGCCTGTCATAAATGGTTGGTGTTAAGGAGATCAGTAAGTGAAAATATAGCCTATACATTCTTGCTGCTCCTAGCAATATACGACATTTTAAGTTAAATTAGTCAATATATATTAAAGCATTTGATGAGTTATAAAACACTCTATAAATATTTAGATTTAATTAAAATTTTTGGCATCTGGTATCATCATGTTTCAGGTGGAAATGAAACATAGGATTATTTTAGGAATCTGTCTGAGGTCATTTGCAGAAATGTGCCAGAATACAGTGCCTGTTTTACCCAACATTATTAAATATTTGACCAGTTTTCAGTAACTTCTATTTTACTCTTTGTTTTGGTAACTTATTCTCAGAAGAACTTCTTTAGAAAATAACTACAGTACTCTTCCACTTGTAAATATCTATTATGGCATTTAGAAAAATTTGAACTTGCTGGAAAATAACATGACATTTCCCATACTCATAAATAATTATACAAAAGAAAATAAATAATATAATTTCTACCTTAAATGTGTTTTAAATGATTATAAATAGTCATTCCATATAAATTTTAAAATTAAATCTACACTAATAATACTGTGACCTTCAAACTACTTATTTGGTGGAGACAGTCATACTGTTTGCTTCTTCCTCAGCAACTGTTATATGGAGTTATATAGAGATTACTA